ATGAGTCCGTGCCAGCGCTGTCAGCAGAAACCCAGCCCTCCTGGGAACCCCCCAGGCCTCCTGGTGACCTCACAGCTCTTTGGAGACCTAGACGGGCTTCTCGGGACCTCAGCCCTGTTTGGGGACTCCAGCCTTGTTTGGGGACTCCAGCTTCGGAGACACCCCAGCTCCCTTGGGAGGCCCACAGGCCTCCTGGGGACTCTGCAGCCCACCCAGAGTCCCCACTCCTCTTTGAGACTCAGGCCTCGTGGGCACCCCAAAGTCCTCTTGGGGACCCAGCCCTCATTGGGACACCAAGTCCTCCCGAGAACCCCACAGCCGTGCTGGGGAGGGCTGACACCAGGGATACTCACGGCCCCATCGCTGTAGCTGTAATCTTCGTCAGGGGTTTCCACCTGCAAGAGAAAGCTGTCCATGTGCAGGGGGCTCGGCTGTCCCCACCGCTGTCCCCACAGCCCATGGGCCAGCCCCGGGGGGAAGCAGGTCAGGATTCAAGCGCAGGGCTGGCTGTGGGGGCAGGAGCCATCCCACCACAGCCATGAGACCCAGCTCCGTGCTCACCTCTTTCATGTCGAAGTCCGCCAAGCCCACGAGGAAGAGGGCAAAGTGGATGCAGTTGTTTTTCCGCAGACTATACTTGGCTTGGCTGTTCATCGCCTTCCTGACCTTAACACGGAAGTCATTGAGGTTGATCCCACCTTTTTTGCGATAAACCTGGTATTCCTTCCTCTCCATTTTCATGACTCGGAAGCCCTCCTTGAGGATCAGACCACTCTTCCCCCTTCCTCTATCTTGTGGAAAACCAAGAGGCATCCATCACTCTGGCCCAGACACCACTCTACGGGCTGCACTTTGGCCATTACCATGTGCCAAACGGGAGCAGGGGGTGGAGTGCTTACCTTGGAAGTGTATGACTTCTCCATCCCCACAGTAGACTGCTGCGTGCTTGAGGCTGCCACTGGCTCTGCCATATTTGCTGTCCAAGGGGAAGAGCAGGATGTCCCCAGGCTGCAACTTGTTCTTCGGCACTTCCTCTAAGACCTCACTGTACTTGGAGGTGATGTTGAACAACAGAAACTGATGGGCCTCACTCTCCCTCTGCCAACCACAGCAGGGAGAGAAGGTGAGGAGGCAGCAGAACCATCACCCCCCAGCACACATTAGAGACCACCACACTGTAGGCAAGAGTCTCACCAATCTCTGACTTACAAAGCTGCTCGACATCTGCAGGGAGAGAGGAACAGAAATGGGGATCAGTGCTGTGCTTCTGCCGCCCTGCCCATGTGTGGAGGGCAGGGTCCCACCCGGCCATCACACCCAGCCCATGATGGCTCCTGCCAGGCGCAAGCGCTTGGCTCCGGCAAAAGTCACCCGTCCTGCCAACTTCTCCAAGCTGGAGACACCCGGGGACAGCCCTGTTCACTGTCCCCATCCTGTCCCCGTACAACAGCGTCTGCTGCCTGCAAAGGGTGTGGAGATGGCACCATCCTTACCGTGCTACTCATGCTACTTTTCCTTGTTTCTGCTGGGCCGGAGCCGGTGCGAGAGCCGGGCTGTGGTATCTCCACCACGGGCTGTGGGAAATGCAGCGGGGAGGATGGGTCAGCAGGGGCTGGAGGCAATCTCGTGTCACGTCCTTCTGGGTGCACGTCAGAGGCGGAGGAAGGCTGAAAGAAAAAATGAAAAGCAGTCGAAAATCCTGGCAACGCCCAGATCAGTATTTCCCCTTCTTAATCCTGGTGTTAATTTTCTAAGTCTCCATTAAACATTAACGTTGGAAGACGGGGAGGCAATGGGGGAATTCCTGGAAATGCTTTTGAGGCAGAGGAGCTGCAGGACGACTCCAAAAGTGCGTGTCAGGCAGCGACCACCCACCCACCACTCACCGAGTGACCTTCCCCAGCCCCAGCCCTCTCAGCTTCCTGGCTTCTCGTTTTTGCTCCCTTCCCCTTAGAAGCCATGGGACCCTTTCCCCCTCGCTGGTGAATCAGCGTTCCCCTCTGGTGGGAACAAAGCCTCCCAGAAACTCTCCCATGCGTGTGCAGGAGTCCCCAAAAGAAAGCCCAGAGAGACACA